TTTTTTTTCTTGGTACTAGGGATTGAACCCAGGGGTGTTTTACCACTGGGCAACATCCCCAGCCCTTCCTTCCTTTCTTTTTAAAAAATTTTTTTAGTTGCAGATGGACACAATACCTTTATTTTATTTATTTATTTTTATGTGGTGCTGAGGATGGAACTCAGTGCCTCATGCGTGCTAGGCAAGTGCTCTACCACTGAGCTACAACTCACTCCCTTGTCAGCCCTTTCTTATTATTTTTTTGAGACAGGGTCTCACTAAGTTGCTTAGAGTCTCACTAAGTTGCTGAGGCTGGCTTTGAATTTGTGATCCTCCTGCCTCAGCCTCCCAAGCTGTTGGGATTATAGGTGTGTACCACCATACCCAGCTACTTTTTCATTTTTCTTCAAAGCGTGCATCTTTAATGTGAAAAACAGTAAAGAAAATGCTCATTTTAGCTGCATGGATATCAGATCAACAGATCTATAATCTAAATACCTGATTAGAAGAATATGAACTTCAACATTTCATTATCACTTTCAAGAGGTGGCTTGAGCAGGGGTGTGGCAGGGAGCTTGGTACTTGGCAAGACACATGCTAGAGGACTGGGAAGACCCCAGCTTTGGGAGCATGCAGAGAGCCAGGGGAAAGAGAGTCTGGGTGAGCAAACGCAGGCCACCTGCTTGGGCTTCCAGGCGCAGTGAGTGCAGCTTGCCTTGGCTTGAGGACACATTAGAGCAGGTGATGCCATGGGGACACTGCAGAGATTTGGGTTTAGAAAGAGTGCAAGAGGTTGGAGAGAGAAAGAATGGTGGGAACTGAGGATGGGGGTGTTTGCCAGTGTCATGGTGTTATCAGAGCTAATCAGCAAGGAGAGATGTCCTTGTTCTGAGCTCTCAGCCCCTGAATCTTCACCCAGGAGTGAGGTGTGAGGTGTGAGCATGGACACCAAATGCATTTCCTAGAAGTACTTTTGTTCCGCAGGAAGAGACTAACCAAGGAACAAAGGAAGTGTTGGCTGATTTCTTGCCCGACGTATCTGTCAGGGCGTGTTACTGCCAGGGCATTGGGCGGTTGTCTCCAGAACCTGAGCATGAGCCCCACAGGCATCTGGCTGCTCACAACCAAGAATGCAGGAAGCAAGGACCAAGAGCCTCTGCGAAGGGCCAGGTCCTGTGTGCTGTGGGCTTCACAGATCAAGAGGCAAAACTGAGGATGTCATGTAGATACTTCCCATGAACATTCTTTTGCATTGAAGACATTTAAAATATAAAATAAGTGAAGATATCTATGATCATAAGCCTATTAATGAGAAGAAAGTGTTTTTTGGGGGGGTATAGAATTTTTATTAATTTTATTTCAGAGTTAGTGTGTCCAGTCATCAGATAGATTTCACATATTCATCTATAGAAACCATTCTCAGTTGTGTGTAGGGACAGACAAGGCAAGGCACCGAAAATAGCAGGAAACAATTTTATTTGGCTGCAGCCAGGTTCAGTGGGCACAGCTTTTGCTGTATTCAATTAGTCTCCTGAACCCCAAGTTTAGGCAGTTTCAGAGTTTTATACCCAGCATGCAAGGGGAGGGGCTCAGAAGTTCAAAGTCTGCAGAAGTTCACATAAAAGCAGCTTTTAATTTCACTGTTTTGGGCATGTTAACCCTTCAAGGACAACATCTGAGAAGGAGAGAACTTTTTCTCTCCTTTCTTTTCTCCCTTACTAGCTGTTACCATGGAGCCCAATTGTAACTTATCTTAAAAAACGTAGACATCTCTGTGAAGCCCAGCTCAAGGCCAGAGGCCTTGTTCGCACATTTCTACAAACTACTATACTGGATACATGTTTGTGAAAAACTAGTAAGGGGTGTCCAGCACCTGGAGTGCTGGAATCTTCCCAGCCAGTGGGCAAGAGAACAGGGCGACACAAAAATAGGAAGTTTTTCTACATTGGACTCTTTTGCAGAGACTCTTTTGCTGACAGTCCTAAAATCTGCCATGATGAAGATTTCTGGAGAGGCCCAGTTAAAACTTTTCTGTGGAGAAAGGGGGTGCCACTTCAGCTGGGAGTGCAGAGAAACAGTGGCTGTATTTTAGCCTATGGGCCATTGTTTTTCCAATTTCTGCTGTGTTAAAAGATGAACTTAGCCAAGAGTAATCCCAGTGGCTGGGGAGGCTGAGACAGGAGGATCATGAGTTCAAAGCCAGCCTCAGCAAGGGTGAGGAGCTAAGCAACTCATTGAGACCCTGTCTCTATATAAAATACAAATTAGGGCTGGGGATGTGGCTCAGTGGTTGAATGCCCCTGAGTTTAATCCCCAGTACCCGCCCCCCCCCCAAAAAAGGACTGAACTTAGGTACATTAAAATTTATGTGAGTAGATTCATGAATCTGGCCACTCTGGACCACAAGGGCTGCAGGACTCTGAATAGGGGTGAAGGGAGAACTTTCACAAGGTATTTTCAGAAGGGGAGTGAAGGGAGGGGAGAGGGAGGGGTAGGAAGGACAGTAGAATTAATCGGACATTATTACCTATGTGCATATATGACTACATGACTGGTGTGATTCTACATCATGTACAACCAGAAGAATGAGAATTTATACTCCATTTGTGTATGATGTGTCATGTAGAAGTAATTGATCATTTTAAAAAATGGGAAAAAAAGAAAGACAAAGTGTAAAGGTAAAATTTCCAAGCTGATTCTAAGCTGCAGAGCCTGAGTTAAAGTGTAAAAGACCAGGCATCCTAAAGTTTCCAAAGTGCAGGGATTGGGTTAAAAAGTAAAAGACTTTTTGTTAGAGTCCCTCTGCTACCCCCAAAACCTGTAATCCCTGTAGCTGTTAGGACAATACTGGAACTGCCCAGTAAATATTTCCACTGACTTTCTGGTTGTTTAATAGCTAAGGGTTCCGAGTTGCTTGGCACGTAGGCATTGCAGGACCTAAACCAATCAGTTTGAATGTGTACCCCACCTAGGAGCACCAATCACTCCTGCCTGATTGTTCCCACCAATGTATGCACTAATCCTGACTCAGGGTTGTTGTTCAATTTTCCTGCGCCTCATGATGATTTGTTCTGATGTATGCAAAGCCCCCCACCCTCTCCAAAAAGTGTACTTAAGCTCCGCTTGAACTCTGCTCTGGGCTCTGGGCTGCTCTCCCTCCTTGAGTGAGCACAGAGTCCCAGCACGCTGGAATGAATCCCCAATAAATTCCCTTTTGCCAATTGCATGGAGTCAGTCTCTTGGGTGGTCTCTCCCTCCGACGTTTCGCCAGACCCTAACAAAAGAAATACTTGATTGGTCAGAGTGGCCAGGCCCTAGCAGAAGTGAGCTGGGTTTTTCTGATTGGAAACCTAAACCTACTATTTACAAAGTTTGGTTTTGTTTGCCTTATCAGAATCTGAGGTGCTGCCTAATGGTCCCCTAATTTTTAGATAGGGTAGAGAAAAGTCCTTTTTCTCAAGAGAGGCATGTCGAAGTAATTTGGGATGAGATATATCTGAAGCTTGGTTTCAATAGGTCTCATCATCAGAATGTGCCTCTGTTAAAGGAAGCATGAATGGCCACCAGATGAAGAGTGCCCCACAGATCACAGTGCTGCTGTCTTGGTACACAGCCCAGTTGTGCCAGGACACTGGATACGTTGTTGGAGACAGCATGGGAGACATGGTTCACCAGTGAAGCTTAAAGACACCAGAGCCTGCTCTGAGCAGGGTTCAGTGGGGACAGATCAGAGAGAAGGCACCTCTGCCCACATGGTGCTTGGCCTAGCAGCACCCCCTCTCCCACATAGAACTTGGTCCAGCAGCAGCTGGATGGATGAGTGATGCGTGTCCTTTCCACAGTGCCCTCAGTCCTGCCCCGTCCCTGCTAAGAGAGGGTTTTATACCTAGGTTGCAGGAGCAGTGACACTCTGAGCATGGGCTTGCCTGGTGGCTTGTCTGACCAGCCTCCCAAAGAGCCGCCGCCCTGGAGTCCCTGCAGGAAAGTAGCTTTCTGCAGGTACCAGTACCTGGCCCTGGTTCCCAGTGTGCCCCAAGGAGCCGGGGTCCTTCAAGATGATACATACCTGGACCTTCCATCCTGGCTGCTCTCACTGCTGTCTCACCTGGGCTGGACAAGGGGACACTCAGTGTCTTACTGCCCCAGCTTCCTTTAAAGATGACACAGCTATGCTCCCCTTACTTGTTAAGCATGAAATTCAGATATTTTCCCCTCCCTAACCAGTCTCAGGACTCTCTAGACACCAATTGGGCATCCTGCAACTCAACTCTGGAAATTAATGCAGACCCTGTAGGTGGGCCCTTCTGTCACCTGCATATCATCTGACATGGCTGCAAACCCAGGGTTCCATAGCCCACGTCGGTTCCACGCTCACTGGAATGGTTCACAGAATTCAGGGGAGTGCTGGACTTGCCCGTACTGAATTATTATGAGGGAATAACTCAGGAACGACAAAATGCAACAGATGCTCATGTGAGGTAGGTGTGGGCAATGGACGTGTCCAGGCCCTCAGGGTGTGGTCCTTCAGCCCCTTCCTGTGCTGGCCAAAGCTCCCTTATGCCTGTTGGTCAGAGGGTTTGTGAGGTTCCATTACGTGGTCATGGTTGATAAATCACTGACTGCTAGTGACTGAACTAAGCCTCCAGCCCCTTTCCCTGTCCAGCGTCCCCAACCCTCGAATCACTGCCTGATCTCCTGGTGACCAGCCGTGTCCTGAAGCTGTCCAGAAACCACCTACAACCATTGTTTCATTAGCACGCCAGGGACATGGCACACATTTCAAGAGCTACAGGCCAGGAACGAGGGACAAAGCGCAGGTATCTGTTTTGTATTTCGTCACAGAAACCCTGTTGTGGTCTGGGTGAGGCACGGGAACTGCACCACAGGACCACTTCCACAGGGCTCCTCTGCATGGTTCCTTATCGATCCTGCATATTCAGACTCTGTTAAAGCTGGAGAGAGATGAACCGGCAGTTCTGCTGTACTCGGATGTACTCAGTGTCTCTCCTGCCTGCAGAACCTCACTGCATGGTCTCTGTGCCTGAGCGGGGTCCTGACATCAGGCTTCCTTGCCACCTTTAACAAGAACCAGTGCAAGCCAAGGAGCACAAGGATGACCGGCAAAACTTACCAGAGGTTGGAAGAGGCATGGAAGTACCCTCTCTAGGTCTAAGGGGAGTATGGCTCTGTTGACACCTTGATTTCAGGACTCTCACCTCCAGAACAGTGGGTCAATAAATTTCTGTTTTAAAATACATGGTTTGTAGTACTTTGTTACTCAGCCCTAGGCTAATACACGCCTGAGTCTGAACTAAAGATGCCATTTGTTTCTCCCAATCCATCTTGCTAACCACATCAACATTCAAAAGACTACCCCAATATGGAGATGAAGAGAAATTATGGAGAAATAGTTTGGATCTGAAGCATCCCCCGAAGGCCAATATTCTGAAGACTTGGTCCCCAGCATGATGTAATTGGGAAGTGGTGGTGCTAATGGGAGGCTTTGAGGTGGGGGCACGCCCTGGGGGTAGATTATGAGATCCCAGTCTCTTCTTATTTCTCTTGCACTTTCCAGCCACGAGGTGAACAGTTTTGGCCCATCACCTCCTTCTGCCTTGATGTGTGATGCCAAAGCAATGGGCCAGCTGATCATGAACTGACCCTCTGAAACTGTGAGCCAGAGTGTTTTTCTCTTTAAAAGTTGACCATTTTAGGGATTGAGGTTGTGGCTCAGTGGTAGAGTGCTTGCCTAGCATGTGTGGGGCACTGGGTTCAATTCTCAGCACCACATATAAATAAATGTCTATCAGCAACTAATTTTTTTAAAACGTTGATCATTTTAGGCATTTTTTTAATAGTGATGGGGAGCTGACTAACACAATACTGACTTTGATCTGAGGAAGGGACCAAAGAACATCAGTGGGGCATCTGGAGGGCTGAGCTGGAAGTTCACAAGGGAGCCAGGCCAGGTCAGGTCAGGGGACCCAGGGGCTGAGGACTGACTTGATCTTGAGCACCCAATTCCCAAACTTTGTGACCATCCCCTGGGGACATTCAGTCTGAGAGCCCTGTTGTCTCTTCAGGAACAAGCATCAGATCTGAGACCCCCAGCAAGGTCTATACCCCATGCAATGGACATTGCCCCCCTCTCACACACTACTGCTTGCTTCTGAGGGAAATCTCAGCACTTTATAGTCCTGCTTCTGCTGGGAGGAAGGGGAGGCCTGATTCCAGTCCCCTCTGGCAGCATAAGAAGGGGTGCAATGACAGGGAAGAAAGGACCCCCAGCTGCAGGAGTGGCCCCTCTATCTTCCCTGGGCTTGGCTGGGTCTCAAAAGAATGTGTGGGTTTTTATAAGAAATATGCAATCACTTTATTTACTTAGATAACACTTTTTAAATTTTTTTTCTTTTTACATTTTTTTCCCTGTAGGAGGGGGAGGATCTTGATTCCATTGGAGAAAGAGGGTGCATCCTTCCATGGATGGTATGTTGAATAGACACGCACCTCCCATGCACACACAAACACAATTACCCATTGTGTGCATTACATATACACACACCCATCTGGCTTTCACCTTGAAGGCTCCAGAGGTTGGAAGAAACCAGGAGAGGATCCAGGAGAAGCCAAACCTGGAGCAAGGAGTATAGCAGCAAAGAGGGGAAGAAGAAGCCTCATTGCCCAGAAGACCAGGACCCATCTCTTACCCAACTCTGCCTCAAATCCCATATTTCTCTCCCTGAACCCCGCTAATGATTCTCCAATAATTTAACCAGAGTAACCCCAGCCTTTTGAGCTGGAAAAAGGGTTCCCTAAGGCCCTTCTGGACTCTTCTGTTTTCATTGACCAGGTGGGAATAAAGTACATGGCTTCAGCTTCTCATTTGTGTGGAGAAAAAATTTATTAGAACGGGGAGGCCAAAGGAACATGGAGGGGGTCAGCATGGAAAAAAACATGAGTGAACATCCCCAGAAACTTGAGGAACTTTTCACTGATTTTCTATTTCATGTCTTGCCAAGAAAGTGAAGAATTGGTTTAATCAGCTATTTACACCCTCAGGGAATGTGTGGTGTCAGTAGACTTCCTCTGAGGACCCTCAGAGCTGGGGTGTGTAGATGTGTACTGGCTACCTCTGTCTTCTTGTGGCTGTTGAAATGTGGTTTTATTGTTAATTACTTACTTACCCTTCCTGAAAACAAAGGGCTTCTCCCCTGTGTGTGTCCTCTGGTGCTGGATGAGGACTGACTTCCGTGTAAAGCCTCGCCCACACACTCTGCACACATAGGGCTTCTCCCCTGTGTGTGTCCTCTGGTGCTGGATGAGGTATGACTTCCATGTAAAGCCTCGCCCACATTCCCTGCACACATAGGGCTTCTCCCCTGTGTGTGTCCTCTGGTGCTTGGTGAGGTCTGACTTCCATGTAAAGCCT